TTTCATATCTTTTTCTTTTTTCCAATTCTTTATGTTTCTGTAGCTTTTAATCCTGGAAAAAAATTGTCTCAATAAAAATTATATATAAAAAAATACAGTGATACCCAAAAACACTCATCTTCCCTCTCTCGCAACATGTTCTAAATTATTCTGAGGAACTCCATGTCGATTTCCTGTTTTCTTAGAGACCTACGTTATGGGTGATAAAACTTTAAAAATGTAGCCAAGTTCTATACACCGCAGCTGCTGTGACGCTACGCAAACAACTGACAACTGCGTATAACCGACATCCTCCTACCTATTTCACTTGTCTTCTGTTATGTAGGACTGAAATACTGATTCCCACAGCATACTGCCTGGGGAATTCTGGGAGTTGAGGTCCACATATATTAAAGTTGCCAAGGTTGAGAAACACTGGTATATGCAGTCCACCTTGCCTTAAGTTCTGAGAGAGAGAGATGTTACATTATATCATGTCCCCTGGATACAAGTTTTTCATGACTTCCACAGGAAATTTCTCTATTTTTACAGTGCATACACTGTAGAAGTAGTCCTTGGCTTATGACCACAATTGGACCAGAACTTCTCTCTTAGTGATGTGGTCATTAAGTGAGTCATGCCCACTTTTATGACCTTTTTTGCCATGGTCGTTAAGCGAATCCAGCTTCCTCCATTGACTTTGCTTGTTGGAAGCCCCCCGGGAAGGTCACAAGTGTCGATCACATCACGCCAGGACACCGCAATCATCATAAATACATGCCGGTTGCCAAGCACACAAATTTTGATCACGTGACCACAGGGATGCTGCGATGGTCGTTAAGTACGAGGACCAGTCGTAAGTCACTTTTTTCAGCACTGTCGTAACTTTGAACAGTTGTTAATCGAATGGTCATAAGTCGAGGACTACCTGTACAATGTTTTCAGTTACACTGACCACCAGGAGGCAGTATGGGACCAGTTTTGTCTTTACATTAGGAATCATCAGATGTACAGAGCCAGATTACGAGAGGCTGGCAGGTCCCACTTGTTTTTTGTGGGACACACCATTTCTCAAGCTTCCTGCAACTGCTAAACACCAAATGAATATTTGGAAAATGCAGGGACTACCCCCTTAAAAAAAAGTCCTGTCTGCATATGGTTGTTGTTTAAGAGCTTTTTCTGCAAATAAAACAATGATAAGAGTTACACTTGGACGTGCCTTCCTATGCTTTCCATTTAAAAATTTAAGCGGTACAAAGAGTGTAAAGTGTTTGATGAGGGGGCTACAAAACCGAGGATGCCGTGGCCCTTGGTGGATGTGGAGAGGCTGAGGGGGGTCCCCCCTGTGGAACTCTGCCAATCACCCATGGTCCGTGCACCACAAGGAGATTCACTGACTCAGCACCACTCAAGCTCTCCTACGGTCTATAAACCTCACGGCTTGCATTCAAAAGCAGAATGGCAGGTGGTGGCGCTCGCTCCACCCCTTTGGGGCGTGCGTGCAACGTCACGGCGCGTGGAGGGAAGGGGCGGGGCTTGCTTGACAACGCAGCGACGCTTGCATCAGTCGAACCTGTTTTGCTCCCCCAGCGGACGCCGCCGGTACTGCAGGGGATCGCTGATGCGGCGGCCGCCAGATAAACCTCATTCTTATCCCTGCGCCTACATTGCTTGTTTTGTTCTGCGTTTAAAATCTCCACTTCTAAGGACGCCAAGAACTCTTATGTGGAGGTTTAATTTAGTTTTTTTTCAGTTTAATTTTTTTTATTTGAAGGCAGGAATGAAATTAGGGCCGCAGCAGGGTCCTGAATAAAGGCAGGAAGCCGGATCTAGTGGCCCTGGAGACTGATAAGAGAAACCAGATTGTTGCCTTTTCCCTAGCGTGAAAGGAGGTGATATAAAGGACGTGGCTGCTGTTAAAAGATGCCAGTGCTGTATCCGTAGAAGGGGGCATGCTTGGAGCCTTGCAGGAATGCAGAATTTAGAGCAGTGTTTCTCAACCTTAGCCACTTGAAGCTGTATGGACTTCAACTCCCAGAATTCCCCAGCCAGCTGGCTGGGGAATTCTGGGAGT